ACCTTTATTGCCTGGCTCTTTCTGGTGCACACCCCAAGTATCAGCCAACCTTTCTGACCCTCCCTGAAGAGCAAAGAGGGAAGGCAGGGCTAGTGAGGACTACTCTGTAACTTGCTTTTGACAGAGAAGCTAATATATACTGCTTGGACCAGGGTAGTATACAGATGGTGGAGGAATGTACCTGCTGGCCCTGAGATATGGTATGGTGCGTATAGAGATTTGAGACTGACACACAAGATGCAATTTTCAGGGAGAAAGTGGGCCCAAGAATGTCAAGAAAAAAACCATAATTATAGAGAAGACACAAGAGGCTGATTGTTCACTGTAAAAGAAAAACAATATGCTTCTTCCTGAAATGAGAATAATCCTTGCAGCCTGTGTGAAGGCTAAGAAATGCTGGTGCTACCTGAATCCCTCAGGGCTGCCACAATGAAGATTCAGTACCCTGCACTTGAAGAATGTGGAACAAGAGTGAATGACCTGAGGAGAGGCTGAGCAAGGAGAGGCTGAGTGATATGCTTGGAACAAAAAGACAAGATGACTTTTACCTATTAGTTTCTACTGACTCGAGAGTTAATATCATTGAACTTCTGAGTTTGCTAAAGAATGAGAAGTTCTGAACTCACACTTGGCCATCTGTCCTTGCAAAAAGCATTAAGCTTTTCTGGAGCCTTGGTTTTTGTTTGGAGAGTTCTTTAAAAACTACAAATTCCAACTAGGCTTTTGGTGGCCTCATAATTTCCAGGATAACTGAAGTAAGAGAAGACGCTGTCATGAGAAGGGTAACTAGCAAGTTGAGTAGCAAGTTATATCATATGCATAGTTGGCGGAATTTCCATTGGGGTGCTGTAGCATGAGTTCTAATAGTCTTAATAATAAAAACCCAGAGTCAGATATAGGTGCAAATGCTGAAAGGTCAGGGAAGTAAAAGGAGGCAGTCACAAGAGAGATCTCTTACCTCCTCAGTCCAAAAGGGTGATCCTGTCCCTACAAATCCTCAGACTGAATTCAATGAGCTCTTGTCTCCTCTCATCATGTCACTCCTGTCTCCATCTCCCTAGTGCTAGGATTAAAGGCATCTGATTCCCAAGTACTGGGATTAAAGGTGTGAGCCACTACTGCCTGGCTCTGTTTCTCTTTTAGGCTGGATCAATCTCCTGTAGCCTAACGTGGCCTTGAACTGTTTGTCTCTGCCTCCTAAGTGCTGGGATTAAAGGGCTATGCCAATACTGCCTGGCTAACTATCAAGGCTAGCTCCAAGCTTTACTTGTTAGGTAACAAACAAAACATCATTGCAGGGTGCTGCCTTTGGAATCAGTGTATCTGGCAGCTGGGATGGTGTCCGTGGCTTCTGGTTCAAAGAAGGGGTAAATTATGACTGAATTGGTATACAACCTGTGGATGCCTGGGGTCCACCAGCTCCAGTAGAAGGGCTTGATAGGAAAAAGACCACAGTTCATGGCTGTGATAGGTCAAGGTCTTCATGACCACCCCATCCTCTCACAGTTCAAGCTAAGTGTCTTGGGTTTTGAGTTGAAAACATCACAACTTTGGTAGCACAGATCCTTTGCCTGAGGTGATCTTAGGACAAACCGTACATTTTCATTTACTTAACAAACACCGGGCATCAGTACTATGTGAGTTTGTTCTTTACACAGCAGAAAAGAATGGCAAATACTTCCCATTCACTACTATCAATTCAATCATTTCAGGGGCTTTTCATATATTATCTTATTTGATGCTTGCCACTATTCCACTATCCTTGCTTGTATTTTCCACCAGGCATTAAGGGGTTAAGTCAAATACCTGGTAGGTCAAGTCTGACCAAGCAGATAGGTTCTTGTGGAAACAGTGACTATGACACAGGTCAGATTCTGTCCTCATATGGTGGAACAAAACAGATAAGGCTCTGAGTACTAGTATTTAAAGCATTGCTAACTGCTCTGAGGAATAAGGGCAAACAGCTGTTTTAAACAGTGTGGCCAAAGAGGAAAAACACACTTTGGGACTCTGGCTGGATTCCTTTGGGAAGAGCGGGTAAGACGGGGATGACAGCCATGAAGGGCCACTGAGGATCTCTTGAGAATTTCATGTGTCATTGTCAAGGTGCTTCTTTGAAGCCTCTTGGGGGAGGGCAGCAGGACAGTGACTCAATCTGATCCTGTCTTTGAGAAACACAACAAAACAACAACAACAAAAAAATCACTCTAGTGTGTGAATAGAACTCAGGGGACAGACCGAAGGTGAAAGATTTTAATTTGCACAGCAAGGATGTAGGAAAGGGGCAGGAGAATAATTCTTGCAAGCGGAATATAGAAAAATCATAAAGAATGGATGTTGACATGGGAGGAAAAATCAGGAATTATGAGAACAAGAAAGGTTACTATAGTGATGGGGCTAATGGTTATATGCTAGGCTGATCTTGTTAAATAGGGCTAGTTACTGAATCATCAAAACTTTGTGGAATAACTGAAGGCTCTAAATGTACAGCAAAGAGAAAGCCAGAGTATGAAAGAAGTTTCTCACAGGTCTTGGCCCACAACAAGGAAATAGGCCCCCAACCCTGGAACAAATGATTCCAGATGAACAGCCCTGTCTGGGTCACTCCTGGCCAACGGACAGTCTGGGGACTTTCCAAGTCATTCTATGGTTTATCCTTTGAATAAAAATAGGTCATCCTGGATGATTTCTCAAACAGGAGATCATACTTTGTAACCAATCACCTTGTGCCCCATGCATGTATACTGATTTGTGGTCTTCTCTATAAAAAGAACCTGGACCCTTTGAGGGGTGTGCAGCTTTCCCCGAGATTGCCGACACCCAAGTGCACTCGTTCAATAAACACCTCTTGCTTGTTGCATCTCCTGGTTTTGGTGTTTGTGTGGCGGGGCTCTCCCATCGGCCGGCCCCTCAGGACCCCAGAATTAGGGTCTAACAAGGGAATTGAGACAACAATAACAATGGCAAATGCACAGATGGTGTAACAATCTAGTTTCCTCTCTTATTCCAGGCCTTTGCTTTAAGGCCAGTTTATGCCAGCTTGTAGCAAGTTCACTCAGGGAGTATTCTACTATGGTAAATGTGGCACTTGGATACAGGAAGGTTAACTGGTTGCTCAGGTATGACTGGTGAACTTTTCCAGTGCAATGAGTATGCTGCCTTAGTCAGGCCTCTCTAAGGTGGGAACATGTGGCTCTACTAGGTTCCCATGGACACCTTGGAAGGAGACAGTGTCCATCTGTCTAGAGGAAAGTACAGTCACCAGGCTGTCCTGAGGTAGCTACCACCACCTTGTTCACAATCATTTCTATGATGTCCCAGCCTGATTTCAGTGTATATTCACTAAGAATGTTAGCTGAAGGCTATAGTTGGTCTAGTCTTCTTATTTTTTTGTTTGTTTTCTCTTTGCTGTTTTGGGGCTAGAACTAAGAAGCTTTGTGCACAGTTGGCAAGTGTTCTACTGTTAAACCATGACTCCAACCCTGACTTAACTTTTGAGAGTAGTTTTAGCATTTCAAACCAAGAACTAATATAGACAATTAAAGATTAGGCATGAGAAATGGTGGGAGAACTTACAGGTCTCCTTTCCAATATAGTTTGTGTTCTGATCATGCTTGGCAAGTTCTGCCCAGAGAAAGTGCCAAAGAATGGAATCATTGTGCATTTATATAACACACAGACTCAAGCTGCTTATCTTTATAAGCTCTACTTCTAGCGGATCCACGAAATGATCCAATCACCAGAGACTGGAAAGTGCCATCAGCCTAGAGTTTTCTAAGTGACACATATATCTGTATCTCTCAAGTATGTGTAAATGTGCAGACTGGCCTTTTCCTGGTGATCTTATTACCTTTTCAGGCCTTTAGGTGATGATCACTTCTTCGGCATGTCCAAATGTGGCTTGATTATTCTTTGACTAGACAAATGCAGGACTCAGAGGACTATCAGAATCTGACAGTACTCTTGAAGAGTGCTCCATTATGTAGGCAACAGAAGCAAATTTAATCTTGATATGAAATGCAGATTATTTTTTTTTAAATCATTTTTTGTTTAATTTTTATTTTGGGACAATTGTGAAAAGAGCCAGGGAAAGACTGAATGAGAGGCAATGTCAGCCAAGCAGGCATCTCATAAGTAGGGGGCCCCAAAATCTCATTCCATAATACACTAAAACTTTGGAGATGTAAACCCCCCCCCCTTCATAAACTATAAGAGAAAAAGACATATAAAAACAGAAATGGAGCTGTGCCAATTTGAAGAAAAGTGAAATGTGTAGTTTAGTGCAAAAAGCCAATCAATAGAAGACTAACTACATCAGTCTTTGACACTTCAATTACTTCAGAAGACGGACAGTTCACACTAGCACACTAATCAGGAGACTGTGATGCCATGGGTATAAGACTCACCTTACAAAGCTCTAGAAAAAGAAGCCTGAGTTAGGGTGACTCCTGGCACTGATGCAGAATGAAATCAGAAACACTTCTCGGGGGCTACTGTAGGCCAGCATGTGAACACATGTGCTCTGTACCCTGTATCTGCAAACATGTCTTCCATATGGTAACACAACCCATGCTTACAAGCCATTCCATTCACCTTAAATTCTCATGAGAAATATGATAAAAATGAGATATAATTATTCTTTTATATATGCCACATAGCCATGTATAGCAGTACATCCTAAAAAAACACTTGGATTAAAAAGCAGCCCCTCTGCCCTCGTTTCTCACACTCAAAGCATCAACTTTAGTAAAACATGAGAGTTTAGTTTCCCAGAAAAACCAGGCCCTGGAAGTCCTGGAAAACTGGTATTCTCCAGTAAGATGTCCTTGAATCTTGTGAAATGATAGTTCATCTTTACATGTCTGAATTAGAAAAGAGGACAGTGCCTCACCATCCTGTGGTGGAAATCACAAACATCAAGGCAGTGATGTCCAATCCAGGAGACAATGTCAAAGCTGAAGACACCTAATGAAAAGCAGTGTGTCACTGAACCATCTTACCTGTCTGCGGATTATTTCAAGGTCTCTTTTGGCTTTATTTACCAGGGCTTGAATTTCTACAGGATCCTTTACACTCTTATTTTCTCGGAAGGCATCTCTTATCCTCCTGACAGCATACATTCTAATGAAGTCAGAGAAAAAAAAAGATGTCAGCAGGCATGAGGTTCTGCTTTTAAATGAATTCAAAAGATTTTTTTTTTTTTCTCTAGAATTAACTGTTAAATATTTTCCTACAGATAACCCAGTTTGATCTTTGCTTGTCTACTTTAGGGTGGCTAAGCAAGCAGACTTAGAAAAACAATTCTATCCCAAACAAGTCATATACGAATGGCAAACTGCTTCTAAAATGCTCCTTAAATTGCTGGCTCTTTGGATTTATGCATGTCTGGCTTCCTTCCATTAGCATGGATAATTAAACCTTTACTATGCAGAGGCAAATCGAGAGTGCTGAGGACAAATGAGGAAGTTCATACGCATCTACAAGGACAGTGATCAGCCTTCTAATTCCTGCCCATTAGATGACAGCTGGGTAAACAGGCCATGGTCATCTCTGGTGTACTTTTATGACACAGTGTCTCTGTTACTCATCATACCAACTTTCTCCTCCAAAGCACCTTCTTTTTTATGTTGATGGAAATAGAAGAGGCATAAAATATTTTAATTCTACTTTTTTTTTGTTTTGTTTTGAGACAAGCCTAGAGCTTGCAATCTTCCTGCCTTTGCCTCAGTAGTGTTGAGATTATATACATGTATTGTCCTTCGTTGCTTAATTCTAATATGCTTATTTTCTTTTTTTGAGGGAGGGTCAGGGTTCGCTATGTAGTTCTGACTGTCCTGGAACTCTCTGTAGATCAGGCTGGCCTCAAGCTCAGAGGTCCATCCGCCTCTGCCTCCCAAGTACTAGGATTAACAGCATGCAACACCCCCTCTACCCTTGCTTAATTCTAATATTTCAATCCACATGCAAAACAAGACCTGATTTCCAGGTGTTATGTTTTTCTTGTGGCTGGTGCCCTAAACCAGGCAAAACATGTGATTGACTACTGAGTTCTGCTCGCATCCCTCATCCATTGCTTTAATTCTTTATTCAGGATTCATCACAGGTTTTTGCAAGAACACCACAGCCTACAGTCACCATCAATACCCTGATTATTATTATTATTTTAAAGAACAGGTAACTGGTTCAGAATACCTAAAAGAAAAAGAGCACACAGAATGGAAACAAATGTAAAGTTCCCCCCCCCCAAACTTTAAGAAAAAAAGAGTTGCTCAAGATACTCTACAATTTATACCAACAAATTAAAGTAAAAGTTAAGCTCAGAATATTTGATTTTATACTTCTTTTCTTTTAAGTTCTCCAGCTTTCCAAAGGCCTTATCTAAGGAAACTCAGCTCAGAATTCAATATGCCAAAATCTAGCTAGTGAGATGGCTCAGTGGGTAAAGGTATTTGACACTCAGGCCTGGCAATCTGAGTTTAATCTCTGGAATCCACATAAAAGTGAAAAGAGAGAACCAATTCCACAATGTTGCCCTCTGACCTGCATACATGCACTGTGGGATTTGTGAGCCACCTTCCTCAACAGCCCCTGCCCCACCCTCCACAGTCAAAAATCTCAGTTCAACACCTAGACACACCTTTGAAATGATACAATCGTGGTGCCCTTCTCTTTTTCATTTCTAGGAAAAGACATTTCACTGGCACAAAACCATAAAGATGCTTTTGCATGGATAATTTCTTTCCCAGTATGTGCCTGTACTTCAAATCAGGAAGGTCAACACAATCTGAATAATACCTCACGTTGAAGGAGGATTAATCACCACTAATTTATTGCTGCCTCATTCTGTTTTTACCTCCCTCCTTTCCCCCCTTTCATTTATTTACTAAACAAAAGCATTTATCGATAACCATATCCTGATGATTAGCCTCTTACCGGTATCACTAAGACATTATAAATAAAATGTGCAGGTGCCATAATGAAAACGTCTGCCAACCCCCAAGAAATTCATGTTAACAGATGATCCTCAAGTGAGACGATGCTGGAAATTAAGTATAAAATTCACGTGGTGCATAATGCACGCACACTGTGCTAGCATCTCTGTGTTAAAAGGGTTGCAAGCCACAATCACACCTCCAGCACTTGAATGCTTATGTCCAGGTTAGGATCCAAAGTGTGACCTTACTAGCTAATATAAGGCCTCTTATTTGTTCTTTTTTCATCAGTATCCACATCGGTAGATTGTCTGCTTATCCATCCCATGAACACATGTTTCTCTTTGTTTCTCTCCAACCACAAGTCAAACATCCCAGTCAAAACAGCTTAACTCTTTTAACTGGTCATAATGGGGCCAACTCTCACCAACGGTTTTGCACAGACATACATGCAGGCAAAATATCAATGTACATAAAATAAACAATCAGAATAATCAAAACACACACTGTGGAAGCCACAGTTACTAAGGTGACTGTGGGAGAATGTGAGAAGTAGAGAGTGAATACTAGGGTCTCCACTGTCAAAGATAAAGAGGCAGGAGAGGAGTTAAGTCATTAAATGGGGAGGCCATAAGACAGGGGGCCCTGCTTATCTTACAGTGAAGTGCCAGAAGATGACATTATACCAGTTGAGCCAAGACAAAAGTAATATGAGGAATGTTAAGTAAGACTCTGGTGGATTGAGAAGGATAAGACTACAAGGTAAAGGCTGCAGAGATCATTCTATGCCAGCAATTCAAAAACACAGGCCACACATGTTTTTAATAGAGGCTTGTGGAGAGTAAGGTCATGTTCCAACAAAACCTGGCTTTCTGCTCTGAGGTTCCTTGGATATAGTTTCTCTGCGACATCCTCACCATCCCCACACAGACAGAACCCAGCACAAGCAGAGAGAAGTTCTGGAGAGAAGTTCAGCACCTCAGTATGAAGGAAGCACACACTGCCCGGGACCAGTTACGCAGACTGCAGGCTGCATGTATGCTGTGGTCCAGAAATGTTTTTTTTTTTTTTTCCCAAGTGGGGTAAGCAGGCCCACTAGCTGTGAGCCTTCAGAACTTCACCTGCTTGGCCAGTACTCTGCCACTGAATATGCCCCTCCTCCGACACATAACTTTCCCAGCTTTGGCTTGCTCTTCTAAATCACACACATTTATATTCATTCTTTCTCTGTTAAGATATTCTCTTGTATCTGTCCATTTCTTGGTCTCCCATTGCAACTAAAATGAAAAAATGATTTTCATTAACACTACTCCCAGTTTTCTGCTTGTATTTTGGAATATGGCAATGTACCAAAGCTAATTTATTTTCAATTTATGAAAGTGCACCCTTTGTGATAATACTGCCTGTCATAGGCATTCATATATAATTCAAAACATTCACTTAGGCACTCTTTACACCAGAAGAGCAGCTGGGCACAATATCTATTAAAATATCAACTATGAAATGACAGCTTTTAATTATGCCTTACCCTCTCAAAAAGGTGAATGCAGTAAGAACTGTGTGGGGCAGAAAGACCCAGAGCAGAAATGTCCTGACACTAGTGTACAGGGGCTTAACTCTCCCACTGATGGGATGTAAGCTTCTGGGAATAGTTCTATGGTTAGTATAGGTCTTAGCTCTGTGAGCAAGGACAAGCTAAGGCTAAAAAACAGTGAAATTATTTAGGGAATAACAACTGAAGAGTTTAAATTTTAACCTGTACTTTAAAGTCAAGGGGTATTGAGTACAGTCAGCCCTCCATATCTGCAAAGTTCCAAAGACCCAATCAACCAGTATCAAAACTGTATGAGAACAAAAACAAAACAAACAAAAACAAAAGCAAAATAGTATATGGATAGAACATGTACACTTTTTCTTTGTTATCTCCTCATAAACACAGTGATCCCAATTTCCACAGCATCTGGGGATTTTGGTATTCAAGATGGGTGCTATGGCCAGTTACCCATGGACACCCAAGGGGAATTGCACAGAAAGAGTTCACTGAAACTAAACATGGCTCCAGAGTAGGGCTTCTCAAGTTTGTTCTCATTCACCTATGGTTCCATGTCAGTGTGTCTCTTTCACAGAGAAACACATTCCAAGAGGGAGAGGAAGGCAGGCCTTTCACACGCTAATACCTCAAAAGTAAATATTTGAAACATATTTTTACCAGGCTGACAAATAAATTTATAGAAGAATTATGAAATAAAAACAGGCCACACTGCAAGGTGTTATCTATTCCCTCTATTCTAAAATAAGAAGGAAAAAAGAGGTTCAGGAGAATGTAGGGTAGTAATTCCCTTTCAAGAGGCAGTAGATTAATATCAATTACTATGGAAATGCTACTATTGCCAGGCAACTGTGTGATAGCAGTAGAGGTTAGGAAATACGCAGCTTCTCCATTTCAGTTTTCAAATTAATCACACATTACCTTATAGACTAGTTCCTCTGACCTTTGAAAACTTTCCAGGAAACAGATGGCATGTGCCATCAGAGTAAGACACTGTGAAGGACAAGGACTCATCTTCTCACACCAGATTTGCCCATCAACTGAGCTGCCTCAATATTTAGGGTATCCCTCCCCCACCTATTTCCACTTCTTACAACAGAAGGATTTTTTTCCAGAAAGGGGTTTGCTAATGCTAAGGAGATTCAAGATGTAGAGACTTGAGAGAAGAGGTTTCTCCAGTAAGATAAGACCATGTGGAAACACTTAGATTAGTAGAAATGGGTTAGTATTTAAGACAGAGCTAGCCAATGAGAAATGCTAGTAACAGGCCAACAGCTTTATATTTAATACAGAGTCTCTGTGTGTTATTTGTGGCTGACGCGGCTCTGGGACCAGGCTGGTAGGGAAAGTTTCTTGTAATAAAATGGAACCTGCAACGTGGGTACTAAGAACTTCCACTTAAAACTTAACAAAAACTTTGATATCATAAGACTAGAAAAGGAAATGTAGATAATGTCAGACCTCAGTTGATTGTCCCCATGGAGGAGTGCATATGGCTGGGAATGAGCATTGCTGCTGGGCCAGGCTAAGTGGGAGGTGAGTGGGGAAGGAAGACCCATGTCTTAGTTAGGGTTGTAAAACACCACAACCATAAGCAAGTAGGGGAAGGGTTTATTCTACCTTACAATTCTTAGGCCACA